TTATGCCAGTTGTATTTCTATGATGTTAATGATGGGTTTAACAGGTATATTTCAGTTGTATTTCTATGATGTTAATGTTAGGTTTAATAGGTATATTTCAGTTGTATTTCTATGATGTTAATGTTGGGTTTAATAGGTATATTTCAGTTGTATTTCTATGATGTTCATATTGGGTTTAATAGGTATAATTATGTCAGTTGGATTCATATAAATATGTATTATTGATATGTATGTCGCTTTAGATAAATGCGTGGGCTTCTCTTCGTCGTGGCGAATGATGCTTTTTGATAGGTAATGTAACAGGAGACAGCACGAGATTTGATTGATTTTGAGAGCGATTTAAGAAGCTTTAGTGCTCCAAAATAGACAACGATCTATTAAGGGATCGGTTAATAATTTATAATTTACTTCAATTAATGGTTTTAATTATTCATTATTGAATCCCTATTTCAGACATTTGACATTGGCAAAGTGAAGAACGTAATTTCCACTCTATAAGCCAAGAATTAAGAGTAGATCAAATAGGTCTGCAGTTGGTGGGTGTAAATTAATTATTAATTAGTATATAATCACCATTAACATTTCATCGTTATCCAAATCGTATTTGGTTGAGCAGGGGGAAATCTTACAATTCAAAACGATTGTTCCAATTTAACACTCCCATGTGGTCGCAGGGAATGAATAGACTGAACCATTTTCTCCTTAGTATTTAGAAAAGCCAACTGACAAGAACATTTGGGAAACCTTACTAGTTATGGGAATTGATTGAACCAGTTGACAATATGCATTCACGTTCCAACCTTTAGAAGAAATAATTTTGTTTATAAAGTGATCTCACTGGAAAAGTATTAGAGTTAACAGAAGTAGCATCTTGGAGTGTGTAAGAAATTAAAATATTCTCGAAAAAAGATACATGCAGCTGGTAAGTGCTGGTCATTATACACAAAAAATAGCTTATATATTTATTGAGCCATTGGGTAAATAGGGTTGTATGATGTTCGAGTCTTGTGTTTTGGGGAGTTTTTATTAAGAAAATTGTGCAAGGCATAAATTCATTAAATATATTTGAGTTATACACAGTCTAGATTCATACTTTGACTACAACTTTTATTAGAGTAAATAATGTATTGTAATTCTAATTCACTAAATATTACCCCTTTCCTGTTATCGTATTTCTAATAACGACCTTGTCAGTTATTACCACTTATTAATTCTTTTTTCCTGTCTTGTTTAATTATATTTCATAAAGCATTTCCTATATCGTACTTGTGAAATATTCCCACCGTCTCTAAATTTAGCTATAATGTTAATTGTTTCCTTTTCTTGAATTGGCCCGTACTTCACTGCTCAAGATTTTACCTTGTTATATCATGTTAGGCCATGTGCCTTGTAAAGTTGGTCTCGTGTGAGATTCTGGACAAATAAAGTTCTAATGATCATCCTCATTTGCGCTTTTCTTTGTTTAAGATTTAAATGATATCGGCTGGATAGTTTAC